CAAAAACCTTCACCATTGATATTATTCAACAAGCAAACAAGCTCAGCCATGGACAAGGGCAGCTCACTCCTGCCTTGTTTCACTGGTATATTTCTGCAGCATCGCAAACATTTGGCACAGTTTGAAGATACCACATGGCAACAGGAAGAAAGCACTTTGTGGCACACAGGTCAGATGTCTGCCAGAGGCAGGAAGCATCTCGACGTGAACAGCTGGGCCCGAGCACATAAAAATAACACATAATGGTCTGTGAGGGGGAAGGATTAGTTGTTTTTTACCTTCTCTGCCACTCCGTCTTCTCCACCTGTGAAGAAATCCGTTTTCCGTCTCAGGAAACTGAAGAACGTGTTCACAAGCTGGAAAAAGAAAAACACAGGAAGACAGGTAACGTCAAGAGACCTGAATTAAAGAGTCTGAGCTGCAAAACAGAGCCTACAAGGAAAAGGAGCAAATCTAGATCTTAGCGGTATTGCGATGAGCAAGTCTTCACTCAGCAGGTAGCCGAGAGAACAACTTCTCACTTCCTTGTTCTTACTTCCAAGCAGCTGATCTAGCAGAATCTTTACATGGTCGCTCCAAAGATTTGGTGGAGCATTTTTGGCCTTTTCCTCTAATTAAGTTTTCACAGGGAGCCCACGGACACAGAGAGAAGTAGCAGCTCGAACAACTGAAGAACGGCATTGCATACTGGTCCAGATACATGGGACGTGAAGACAAAGAACCACTTTTATCAGTTGGCTCTGACGGACTAGATTAGATGAGACAGCAGAGCACATGGTGCTCACCAAGATGGTCTCTGCCCACACCTCAGCTGGAAGCAGCGCAATGCTGGTATAAAGTGTTGCTATCAGTTTCCATAGCCAGTGTGGGCAGAGACTCAGTCCCAAGAACCACAATGACTTAGCCTTCCTATACCTTATCCTCCTAGGTTGCTTGAAGCACTGTGCACCAGTCGCCACAGCAACCGTTTGATTGGGAGGATTAGCAGCAAAGAAACCCCTTCTATAGGGGCCAGAGACATCGCATTTGTGTTTCAACACAGTTTCCTTCCACCACGGCTACAGCCAGAGCACGGCCAGGCTCAGGGACCCGAGTGGCAAACGAGCCACCCGCCACACCGCTTCTCAGCCAGCGAGCTTTTCATCCCTCAGCCTGGACGCTGCCTAAACTGCAGCCTGAGGCGAGACCCTCGCCTTTCTTGGATAGCTGTCCAGCCCCCACACGCCAGTGGCGCCACGTTAATAATTAACGCGACAACCCGTTTAAGTGCGAACGCTTTCCCAGCGCAACCACCGATGCCTCCTTTAAGCACGGGGAGTTAAACGGAGGAAAACATTTGCAACGGCAAGAGATGCACGGACCGCCGGCAAACACCGGGAGGGCCGCGGGCACGGCGCCGTCACGAATGTTCAGTGCTCCTAAAACGACCCAGGAAGACGGGGTCCGAGCTGCTCAAGGCCTCTGGATCTTTATGAAGTGCGGCAGAAGCTCGGTCTCTTCGTGGACGAATCCCACGGCACTTCGCAAAGGTTGATGCCTTTGTTCCCGTTTCACAGATGGAAACCTTTGGGCACCCTTCTTACGCACGTTCAGGGGCTTTACTCCAGGGCATCCCAACCTTTTTAGACTGCGGACCGGCAAACCACGGACCGGAAGCGACCGCGGTCCGGAAGTGACCGGCGCGCTGGGGAGCGACAGCCGACCCTTTTTTATATTTAGTCTAAAA